ACTAATATGACTAGATACACTAGCAATCAAAGCGGTGATTTTCAAAAACTTAGGTCAGGCAAAGTTCATGCACTAACCCATTTCAGGAATTTTCAGACTGAAATGCCAGGATACTTAGGTGTATTTATTTTTAACACGCTGAGAATAATCGCAAGACTTACTTTACTAAAATCACAATAATTTTCCCAGCACCACCTACTTAACACATCAAGATATATATAACTCATGTAGAATCTGAAAATAACCCTGTCTATGACAAATGTATTGTTACCACCACACCATGTAGTCACCATACATTCACTTTTCTCTCTCACACATAGAAATTTATGTCAGGTTTTTATCAAGATGCCAACATTTTTTCTGAAGACTGTTCACTAGTGTTCTCTCTGGTTTATAGACAGGGAAAGGTGCCCTGAGAAGCAAAATGACAATAGAGCAAGGCAACAGACTAGTAAAGAACAACTCCCTTTAGCACCTGTGCCCTGTCTCACATGACTTCCTCCAAAGTATTGTCACTCCCTAAGTGTCATCAAAACACAACATTAAAGAAATCCTGATGCTAACATAACGTGATCTTTGGTTTGGCTGGAGCACGCTATTTAATTTTAATGGTAATTTATTCCACTGTGAGGTTTAGCCACCAGTAGTTATTTTGTGAAAATGAAACTGTGAGCTTCCTCCCTGAAGATAAAGCATGTGACACGTCACTATGCTGAGTGAAGCTATGTTCATCACATGTAAGTGCATCACAGGTATACATGAAATTTACATTTTTATTCTTCATCAAGAAGGTATTTTGTGCTTCCCCCTATACTATAATCATATACCCAAAGGCTATATTTTCTCCCCCATTCATTTTAAACTTCTGCCTAATGGAGGACCAGGCCCAGGGCAAAAATCCAAGCTTGAACTGTATGAGAAGTCAAACTCCAGCTCAACTCAGTAGCACTGTATTTTCCTGGTCTTTTTGGATATGTGCTGACACAAGCTTTAAATCTTTTCATCCTTTAAATAAAGCAATCTGGGGCAGCTTAGCTTTAGTGGAAACTCAAACAATTAATTCACCAAGTGAAGGTAGCAGACCATCTTCTTAATGAGGACACTGAGAACACACAGCCCTGACTCTACCCTCTGCTCCAATATAAACATTTAAGCTCAGTGTGCCTTAGTTTCTCCATCTGTACAATGATACTAACAGCATTTTACAGAGTGCTCTGATTCATCATCTGCTCATCTCCTGGAGTTATCTTCTTTGTTAGAGATAACCCTGGATCTTCTAATACAATTAATTTGTTGGTTTTGGTGGGTTTATTTATTTATTTATTTATTCAAACACACCTCCCTGTAACAGTTTAAGAACTTTATTATGATGCTTTACAGGGAAAAAAACAATAGCTAGTAATAAAAAGATATAAACAGCTAGGACTTCACTAATGGTTTCACAATCCTTTAACTACAAACTTTGACATGGCTCTAGGGGTGTTGTCTTTATCAGCAGTAAGTCCCAGAAGTTGCCATTTAAACTTCTTTACACTACTTACCTTTATAACCAATCAATGAAACAGTGCAACTCATACTTTACATACAGTATATTAACAAAACTGTGAATGAATGTATTGTATGAAAAGTCTGAAGGAGAAGCTGGAAAGTCAATGATTATCCTGCTCGAGGCTTCCATAGAGACAGACACAATAGTTATGACACGCCTATGGTATGCGTGACAGACTTCCGTTTTGAGCATAGAATTCCTGGGAATTCTATGCTCAAATAAATAAAAGAAATAAAAGTGTTTTTTTTAATTTTAAATCTTTTATGATTCAAAATACTCTGTTTTCTGGCTTGGCTATACATTTAAGAAGAATGAACAAGACAGAGCTGTACAAGTACTTGGATAAGCCAAGTATTTTCAAACAAGGGCCAAGGAAGCGAGCTCTGCACTTCACAGCCCTTAGAGCTGCGATTTACACTCCTAGGCTTAATTCTCTGAAACTTACTGAAGACTGAGGCAGGGAGCCTCTCTGCTACTAGAGTAGGAGCAGTATGTCATCTGCCGCACAACTCACCTGAAACAAGAACCCTTGATTCTGCAAAGGGATATCCTCCTCTAGGCCAGAGGCAGTCCCAGGGATCGCAAACTGGCATGGCCCAACACAGGCGGACAGCTGTGCTGCAAAACTAGAGTCCCTAGATTTCTTTTTGGTGTACTGCACTTGCCCACAGGTGCTGCTAGGACATCCTCAGCATCTGCCAGATTTTCTGTGCTGTGTGATTCTGTGCCCTTTTTTCAGAAAGCTTTTGGGAGAACAATGTATTTGTCCTTACAAACAGAGTGGAACTGTGGCAAAACAATGGACGATTACCACAGTTTAAGTTGCTCAGTCTGTAGCCTCATGGTTTATCATCCCAAGCTGCACTAGCTATTGAGAAACTGGTACATGATAAGTGGGAAGGCTGATGAGCCCATGATAAGAGATTGAAGTTAGCTTATGTTTGCAGCAAAAATATTGCCTTAGAGAGAGAACACAGATAACAAAGCTCTGGATCGAGAGGGACTGCAGGGACTAAACTGGGAGAGGTAACGGTAGATTGGTATCCTGGCATTTTTCGTTACGCAATCTCATTCTTCAAGCTCTTTCCAGAAATGAAAAGTATGAAACCTTAACACAGTGGAAGGAAGAATACATAAATTATGTGGCACTTGAAGAGATCCAAATGAAGAGATCCATTACAGAGAGCTATTCAGACGTTTAAACGTGATTAGGGATGGGTCAACATTGAGAGTCTGTTCACTCCTTGCAACAGCAAGGCAAGCTCCCGTATCTGCACAGCTTATCACAGAACCATAAAACATCAGGCTGGAAGGGACCTCAAGGACCATGTGGTCCAACCTTTCTTGGCAAAAAGCACAGTCTAGACAAGATGGTCCAGTGCCCTGTCAAGCTGAATCTTAAAAGTGTCCATTGTAGTTATGGGGAGCATTGTAACCCCAGAGCCACAGACACATGCTGGGAAGACGGTGTGAGGCACCACAACTTTCAGCTCTGACCATGACCAGCAGAGCCTGAGAGGCTGCAGTACTCAGGAGGTGTTCGAATCTCAACAATGGAGAATCAAACCTGTATCATCTACCAGGTAATCCTGCCCCACCTGAGAGGCAGCCCACACCTTCCAGCAGCATTAGTGGCCAGGTTTACTGTGGCAGCTCCTGAGGTCAGACAATTTCTTGTTTGGCATGAATCGTGAGTGCTGCTGCTCACATTTTCAAGGCTGTTTTTGTAACCAGGAGAGTTTGAAACAGTTTTCTGAAGCAAACACTTAGCTAATGGTAGTTTTGGCAGCTGAGGCCTCAGGCACATTCCTATTGTTCTATGCCTTAATGCAGCCTGCTGAAGCCCTGCTGAGCCAAACCAAGCAAGCACAGCACGATCACAGTCAGAACACCGGCACAATCTGCTGAGTGGAAATGGATGGCTCTCAGCACAGCACCTCTTCACTCCCAGAAGCAAGGCAAGGGGAAAGGGAAAAGCCAGGAGGAGGAAGAGAAGGGAAGGGAGAGCTGAACACAAACTAGCTGACATGAAATGGGAGTGATGTAGCAATTGGAGGGGGAGATAAAAACTAAACTCAAAGTAGGTCCAAGACTTGATTAACTGAGGAAAGGCACTGCTTCTTTTAGCCAGAAGAGGAATGAGGACTCATCGTACTGTTCATCATCTTGTTCCTCAGTCAGTTTCTGAGCAGACCTGAACTGTATTGGTTGCATTAAGGACATACACCAGGAATGGTCAACAAGAAGATAACAGTCAAGAGCCTCTAACACAGTAATGAGAAAACCTAAGATTGTGAACACCTTAGAATACAAACAAGCCCATGTTCTTTGCACCAATGAGTAACACACTGTACTGGAAACAGGATGGAGTCCTTTGAACTTCAAAATATCAAGGGTACACCTACTCTTGCACCCTGACGCAGAAAAAAAAAAAACATTCCCAGAAAGCTTTTGGTGTCCAGCAAATGATAGGACTCTTGGTGCTCTTAATGGTGTCACCACCATATCAGGTCAACTGAGAGAGTAGTGTTCCTTCCCAGTGTGCTAATGCTGCAGCACTGTCCCATCTTCCCCTCCTGCAGAGGCACAGTGACACCATTAAGCTCCTATTGGGTACTGCAGAAAGAGTCATGCCTACCACTGTCAGCTGTGCTGGAGGTGCAAAATTAAACCCTATAAGGACACAGCTAAAATTAGTCAAGTTTAGTTCTGCAATTAGAGTTGAATATAGTAAAAGCTTCAACTTTAATAAAGATGACTCATGATTAGACATGACGTCATGCATTAAAAATGTAATCCAAACAAGTTGTCTGTTTCACTACAAATAGCAAACTTGAATGTCCTGGCAAACCATAAGGACATGATTTACAAATACTAGGTAATATTTGGATCCAACATTATAAGCAGTGCTCCAATCTTTCTGAGAAATAAAAATGACTTCATTCTGGGTTTAGCTCAGTCATTTCAATAGACCAAGCTTCATTAGAGACAAACTGTAATTGTATATATTGAGCTCAATACATATAAATTTTTGTTTTGGTCACAGACCACACAGCTAGCGTCCACCCATAGTATTTCCCATTCCTTTGAGGTTTTTTTGCATTGTGGCAGTATTAAACTTCTGATCAGGACTGGTGACCTGTTATAACCTCACAGCTTTTTGAACTGGAATGCCTGCTAGTGTTAATAACTATACAATACGCAGATTCTGAAAAAGCAGTTTTGGTTTCTTTTCCTTGAATTCACATAACAAGCAATTGGGTACCTTTTCCAAACTGCTTTGCTCTGCCACCTAACTGTTCCCCAGAGCCCTACACAGCAATTTGACCTCCTGTTAATTTGTTTTTTTTAATGTGTGTTTAAAAACTTTCCAAATGGATGCTATTAACTCTACGTCTTGTGTGACAAGTAGCTATGATATAGAGCAGACCAGAGGACTGTGTATACTTACAAAGAAAACTCTTCGGATTCCAGGTGCCAGTCTTTCTGTTTTCAGCTTCCAGACTAGAGGCAAAGGCGAGTTGAGAAGAAACACCAGAGATTTCTGGTGAATATGCACCGATGAAATCGGATTCAAATGTAAGGTGACCTACAGAGAAACATAGAAATACATGAATACTTCCTCGTAAGTTTCAAACCCAAAATGGAATTTGAAAGAATCAATCAAAGGTCATTTATATATATATGACGGCTTCCAGCATTCAGACCTCTTGACTCAAGATTATAGACTAATCAACTTTCAAAAAAAAAAAAAAATCAGTCAACAGAGCACAGATAATATAAAGAATGAAATAGTTAACATTTGTGCTCTATGCTTCCAAAGCACTGCTAAAGTGTTTAAGAAAATCTTGGCAAATGCTGATGAAAAATAGCTTATCCAAAAGGTCAAACCACTAAGCTGAGAGCTGGAGAACAAGATGATAAAAAGAACTGCAAAGCAAACGCCGATTTCTGGTTTCTAGATGGTATCCTACAAAGCTGGCTTAGAGTACAAACCTCATCTGCTGATGCCATTAAGGCATAAATCTAACCTGCAAAACAAATAAAACTAAACAAACAAAAAAAACAAGAGGAACAAATCCAGAAACACAAGCAAGCACTACAGCAGTTTATGGAAGGAATTCCAAAAGAAACTTTAACATACACTAGGGAAAAAAAATGCCTGTCTTCAGGGACTAGAAGGATATATGGGGAAAGCGATCCCAGGAAAGTGAATATCACAGAAGTGAGGAAACCTGTTAGAAGTGATTTTTAAGCAACCAGTTTGTAGTTGCTGGAAGCCCCTCCTGACCAGCTCCTCATGTCCCAGCGCTGCCCTTCTAGAAAGGGGTCAATGTGGGGCAAAACCTCAACCAAATGCATGACAGAGAACAGTCTGTCAGTTTTTAGCATGTAGCAACTTGTAATTGAAATCAGTATTTTTGCAGTATCCTAATAAGCTTTTTAAGCAGTCAACATTCGGCTTGACAGTTCATCCTGCTTCAGAAGAAAAAAGCTTTACTGTGCAATGGAGAGATGATGTATCGCACAGACTAAACGGGCTGCTGATGTCTCACAATGGAGGGTGGCAGGTGGGTTTCCTGACAGACAATTACAGCACTTTCCAGAAAAGGTACAGAGAGAGCAAACACAAACACAACCCCAATTTGAGTGGTGGCACACAAAAACAAGCACAGAGGTAATTCAGAATTAATTCTGTCTCCTGGTAGAGAATTTCAAAGGAAATCTGAAACAAGGAAGCCACTATGCATAGTTTATTGCATTATTCTTATATAGTGGTAAGCACCAGTTGGTTTATGATTAAAGTAAACGCAGATTCATCTGGCAAAACACCTAGACGAAACCTAGAGACCAAACTGCACATTAGGTATTCATTACTGTTTAAAATCTTTAGAAAAGAGAAAGTTAGAGCTTTTTTTATTATTTTTTCTCTTCTTTATTTTTCTCCCTGCCCACGGCAAAGTGAAAGGTTCACCACCACTGCAAAGTGTAAGTCAAACCTCGGTCTCAGGTCTGACAGATACCTGGAGGACAGCAGAACGACCTTTTCATGCTACTCAAGAACTTGCGAAAAAGCTAGCAAACAACCGGCTGTGTCACCACGCCAGTCAACAAGCAGATCGTTACATGCAGAATTTACCGGATTCTTAAAAGCCACTGCATAAACGTGTCTCAATTCCCCATAGTGAAAGAGATGTCAAGCCCCATAAGTACAGCTCTATCTTCATCTTTGTTATGTGTGATTAAAGCTTGTTGGAAAACAGGTATTAAAAGAATAATTCCGTATTTGGACTAAACTGAAATGGCTTTAAAGAACGAGCACCTCTCTCTGGCAGCCGGGCAGGAGGACTGGCTGTATTCAGGCACTTCCAAAAGAAAACGTTAGGTACCACAGATTACCACGTCTTCTGGAGACCACATTTCTCTCCATTTTCTGCCTCAAAAGAATAAAATACCTCATTTTAAGAAACTGCAGGGTGTTAGCACTCTAAGATTATGACTGGCATTTGAAGTTTCTGTCATTAGTCTCCCCCCATGAGGGATGACAGAGATTTCAAATGCCAGGCATGATCTTAGTTATAAAAACTGCTTTACAGTATCAGGCTATAGAGTCGAAATAATTCAGTTAGCTAAAAATAGGAGAGAAGATGAAATTATTTGTTTTACAAGCCTCTCACTTGGTTGTTCTGTCTAGAAATGGAGAGGCGAAAGTGGAAAAGAAAAAGGTGTTTAGAACTGCTATTAAATTCATGGCTATTAAAAAGCTTTCATTAATTCTTGTGGTTTTTAAGCTGTAATCACAGCTAATTCGTAATAAGCTGTTTAAACTATTAAATATAATCACCTTGTTCTGGGGTTACGTTTTCTTACAAAGCAATAAAGATACTGTAATCTAAGTTTACAAAAGTAGCCCAGTTATATCTTTTGCAGTCCTGATCTGGCAAATAGGAGTTCAAATTTTATTCTGCTATTTTTTTCAGCTCCAAGTGGCATAAAGTGCATTTAATTTTAAACTCCCTAAACTTCAAAGTGTCAAAATCTACTACACTAAATGGAGTAAATATTAAACATATCCACTCTTATATGCATCCATAGCTACATTTTCACACCCAATGATAACTGGTTTCTTCTGATTCCAAAGGAAGTAAAAACTAACGTAAGTATTGATGGAATGAGCTACAATACAAGTTTATGTACTTAAATAACCAAGGAAAGAAAAACCAGCAACAATCCTCTCCCACTGGCCAATGGGGGCAGTCAGCTTGGGTTTGCATCCTGATTGTGTTTTTATTAAAATGTCAAGTCAACGCGAAGAAGAGGCTCCTATTAGAAATTTTAAATTTTTTCACTATTTAAAACCTCTGATATTTATTAAAACCAGAAATTATAAAAGAAATATAACAGTCTGAAAACTTCATTTCAGAAATAGCTAGGGCAAGTCCTTTGGGTAATAAGGAAACAGACAAGTATCTCTGTTTCAACTGATCTCAGACAAGTTTATTCAAAGCCAACATCTATCAGACAAGACAGATGTTTTAGACTTCATGAAGATTTCTGCCTGTTGGTTTGGTCACGAGAGAGCATACAGAGCAATCATAGTACCTTAGTGAGAAAATCAGAGACTCTTTGCAACTGGATCTTCTATCAAATTTCATAGTTGCTATTCCTTTAGGCTTTGGAAGTTAAATGTGTATATAATATACACATACACAAATATTTCCATACATGTATGGAAATAATCAACAAAGTTTAAGCTGTATTGAGAAGTGGTGATATAGCTATCCATGTCTTTGGCTGGAACTGTAGGCTAAGTTATATCACATAATGGAATTTTCCCGTATTTCTGCCTGAAAAGTGCAGACTGATCTTTAAGAAAAGCTACAGGACTTGAACACAAAATCAATTAATTTTTCATAAGTAAATTAAGTGTTCCTGTGAAAATTTTCAGAATAAATGTAATTTTGCATTACTGCACTCCTCAGTTCGCTCTAAGTAAGACAGCAACAAAACACATGTGGAATTCATATTCATAGTACTAAACTTGAGAAAGAATAAAGTTAATGTGTGCATGCTTCTGCAGCAGCCTCTGTCACTATATTCCTTTGCATATATATTCCCTGTCACTATACTTCTTGGTGTAACGGAGTCTTCAGCATCAGTTTGGTTTTCCAGACTGAAAAAAAAAAACCACAAACAAACCACAGAGCTGCTCAAAAGCTGCTCAGAACCATCTTGGTCATTGTATTTTTCACAATTCGTTTTTGCCCCAGAGCCAGCTCTGCTGAGAAGCAGCTGGGCAGCCCAGCCTGAATGTGACTGTTCCCACTGAGAAGTCGTACAAAATTAACCGTCTCCTCATAGTGTAACTACCTCCCCCTCTAATATTTATGATTGCCCCCATCACTGCCTGTGCTTGATGCTATACAATAGCAGTATCTATCATGGGAGTCTTCTTCCTGGTCCTTGAAAAGATTTCCAAACAAACTGCTGGGGAATCACTAGCATTCAAGAGCTTTCTGCCAACAATCTAGCTGCCAAGCATGTGGGCTTTACCTTGCTGAGCGGCAGTTGGTGGGCTATCACACAGTAATTTCAGCCCAAGTAAGGCACGTATGGTCAAAACAGCTCACCAGAGAGGTGAGAGGTGTTTCTGTGTGGAAGGCAGCGGTTTGAACCGTGGAGTCCAGGTAAGAGCCTGGAATTCGACTCCACACCAGAGGTACACCGATGTCCCTTCTACTCTTACTTTAGAAACTTGAAAGGCTTAACAGGACTCTAAGGTTTATGAACTTATGACATTGACACAAGCCAAGTTTCAAACTACAACTGTACCAGCACCTCCAGTGTGACACCGTACCCCTCTCGAGCTCTGCTCCCACCTTCTTGCCCTTCTGCTAACTCCTGGCACGGCTGCCTCCATCCACAGCACTGCAGTGGAAGATCTTCATCTCTACTCTCTACAGTGATATCTCTCACCAAAAAGTAATTTCTGCTAGACTGCCCCTACTATAGCTCTAGTTAAACCATATATTGGCTGAATCCTACGTGGTGCTCTCTTTTTTGCGGCCACATTTCTGTCTTGCCTTAGCTTGTGAGCTCTTCAAGGCACATCCTTTCTCAAATGTCTAGACAGCTCATAGCAACTTCTAAACACTCCACAAATTAATAGAAAGGTACTGAATCACTTCAAACCACCAAATAGAATGTTTCTAATTAATAGCAGAAGAGCTAACCAGAAAATTTCCCTTTCTTTTTGTATTTTCACTGGCAGAGTCCACATTATTAAATATTTATGTGAAGCATTGCCCAGAAAACCCATCAGAAACCAGCCTTACATGTGTTCAGCACTGTACAGCTAGATGTGAAGACATGGTGTGAAATTCTGAACTCACTGAACTCTGTGGTAAAATTCATTATTTTTCTGAAACTCACATAAGCTTTGTATTTTTTAAATTAGGTATCTAAAGAGATATACTCTCCATCCATTCTTATAGGTTCAAATGAGCTTATAAAATACACGTTTTGTACTTCTCAGCAACACACCACCTCAGTCAAAAGTCATCTGCATCTCAGCTCTATGAGCAGTTT